TAGTAGTAGCAGTAGTAGTAGTAGTAGTAGTAGTAGTAGTGGTAGTATATGTAATAGTCATGATGGTAACAAAATATCAATATTGGCAATAGCAATGATAATCATAACAACCTAGAACTTCGGTTTAACTCTGGCAAGTGTAGATGTGTTTTCTACCATCCACCACCCCACACATTACCATCATATTGCTCATGGTAGTTTCACCATCATTGCGCTGCCGTTCGGAACATGGGATTCCAACAACAGCAGCCTGGCCAACCAGGTTGACGAGGGTGAACGTGGCGAGGCTTCGAGCTGCCCATCCTAATCCTCATACTACTACTAATACTAATACTAATACTAATACTAATGCTAATGCTAATGCTAATGCTAATGCGAATGCGAATGCGAATGCGAATGCGAATGCGAATGCGAATGCGAATGCTAATGCTAATGCTACTGCTAGTGCTAATGCTAATGCTAATGCTAATGCTAACGCTAATGCTAATGCTAATGCTAATGCTAATACTAATACTAATACTACTACTAGTACTAGTACTAGTGCTAGTACTAGTACTAATACTAACACTAACACTAACACTGACACTAATATCAATACTAATTCTAATACTAATACTAATACTAGTCCTAATACTAATACTAGTAGTAGTAGTAGTAGTAGTAGTAGTAGTAGTAGTAGTAGTAGTAGTAGTAGTAGTAGTAGTAGTAGTACTAGTAGTAGTAGCAAATAAGTCGCTTGGGTACTGGCTTACACAGCCGCATTCGGCTCCAAGAAACTCTTAAAACGACCCTCAAGCCCAAACCTTAAATTGAATTCAAGTGGGCTCGCTGCTTTCTCGAAAACTTTTGCTGACATGCCACATGGGCAGCAGCAGCAAGTTGCGACCTGAGCCACGTCTTGGTTTGGCGGCTTACTCTCAAGGCTGGAAAATTGGAAGGACATGTCTGCATGTGTGGTTCGGGCAACTGCTGGCGAATGCCGCTGAAATCCTTCTACCGGCTACCGGTCATTCGAAACATTTGTGAACTGTCCGGAAGGTATCGGAGATCCGAGGCCACAGCTCCGCCCGTGCAGCAGTTGCCGTCTCGGCGCACTTCCTTCCGAAGTCCAAAGTCCGGCTCGGCTACCACGGGTTTAGGGTTTAGGGGTTTTCTCCGAGAACTGCTCCTATCCTTTCGCCTTCCCATGCCGAAATGATGTCGCACACACATGCACCAAACTTGCGAAGCGGTAGCAACCGCCACCGGCTCAGCAGCCTGTGCGGCTGTGCGTACGTTCGTGAGCCTTTAGTCTTCGAAGGCAGCGAAGCTCGGTCGGCAAAATACAAAGGCGGTCCCTCCAGGTCTTGTCACCCTCCTCGACAAGCTTGAGCCGCTCCTCGCAGTTGCAGCTCTGTACTTCTGGGTTTAACGTCTGCCGTGTGAGCTGTCGGACAGAGTCAGGCCGACTTCGCTGTCACAAGTTACTCCGGCCTGTCGCTCATCATCGCATGGTGCTTGGGCGACTACTCGGTACGGGACAAACGTCTCGAGCTTGTCCTGCAAAGACACCGGCGAGTCAAGCAACAACTGTTGCTTATGGCATGAGGTGAGATGTTCACTGCGAAGTATAGAACTTCAAGACGACTGTAGCTTGTGGCAAATCCTACACTTCTACTTTTTCCAACTTCAAGGCAAAGAGAGCGCTTGCAACGGGCCGGTGTGTGCAAGATGTTTGGGCGCTCTCACTCGGTTTCGTCCCCCTCTTTATCTGCCCCGTCCTTCTGGCACTGGACAGCAACGACGGTGGCATCGCTTTCCGGCGTACAGAGGAATCTGCCACAAATGGAGAAATCGCTCAGTGGTGGGAGCAAAGGTTTCAAGCGCAGACAAGCCCACCAAGTGCTTCGCGCCTGACTCTCAAGTCGCCCACCTCGTCGCTTGCATGACAGCTTGGAGCCCGCCGAAACTCTACTTCGCAAACCAATACCTCTGGTGCAACCTTCGTCCCATCATCTGCATACATGGTTCTTGTCAAAGGACGTGCCGCAAGCCCGCAAGCTTATGCTCTGCCGATCTACACTGCCCTGCAGTATTTTCTATCAGTCTACGTCTATATAATCCAGCAACCTCTCTTCGCCGCATATGTAAAGATATCTCTATGTGTACATGCATACATACATGTAGGTATGTATGCATGCATGTATGTACATGTGCACACAGACAGATAGAAGAGAACTACTTATTGAATGAGTATATCTGTACACATATGAAAGCATGCATACAATACATGCAACCATATCTATATATATATATATGTATATACTCAGGTACACATACACACAGAGAGTACACATACAGAAATCAGTATGCTTGTGTGCAATACATATTCCTGCAAGCACATATATATATATATATATATATATATACACATGAACATGCCTGCGCATATATGTACACATGTGTATATATTTGTGTATGGCTATGTATATATGTACCTGCATATGCAGACGTGCCATGTATGCATTACATAAACTTAGGCATCTCGGTACGGTCTACACTAATAACTAGTAACTAATACATACACACATATAATTTAAAACAAAGACAGACATACATACGACACACGTACATACGACACCATACGTCTAAACATATGCGTATATACATGCGTGCATGCATGCATACATGTGTACGTACATACATGCATATAAAGCCTTCATACACACAGCCTTCCTATGGACCTGCCTACCGGACCAACCTATACCTATACTACCTACGTGTGTGGATGAATGTGTACCTACAAACAAACTATACGTACAGTACATGCGTCACATACGCACGTCCATTCATCCGTCCTTCCATCCACTCATCCATGCATGCACGCATGCATGCATGCATGCTACGCTATGCCTGCCATGCCATGCCACTACACCAGACCACACCACCATACCATACCGTACCAATATGCAGGCAAACAGACAGACAAACAGACAGATCAGACAGGCAGGCGGACGGGCACGCAGGTAGACATACGGAGAGCAAATGATAGCCACAGGGCTGAGCTCCGGACCTGGTGTTTCTGGAAGAGCTCCACCTGTGGGAACCGTCCGGGCTCTGAATCGTCGGCAGCTGCAGGTGGCTGCCATGACGAGTTCAAAGATGGGGGTAGGGAATGCTCAAAGGCAGGACTGGCTTGGAGAGGAGTTTACTTCTAGTTGGGCAGCCAACACACAGATCTTGCTTGAGGACAGCGGCCCCGAATGCCGAAAGAGAGATTGAACTTCGAAGCTCAGCGCCTGATTGCCGGCAAAGCCGGGACGACCGTAGAAGAAACCGTCCTGTGGGCTGGTCAGAGTCGAGTGAAGGCAAACTCTTATGTCAGTGTCGATCGAACTGCAAGTTCCTCAGGTTCGCAATATGATATGAGAAAGTCTCATATAACATGATGAAATGCAGTTGTGGAATGAACCCTAATGCAACTGTTTCATTCTGATTGCATTCATCCGAGGCAAAGCAAAGGTATCCTCGGCTCGAAGCCCAAGGTTTCAACAAGCTTGATCATGCTCGCAAGGTGCCCTCGTGCTAGGGCTGTATAGGTCTCCCTTATGGTACCTTTGTCGTACCCTTACTATAACCCTTCTTGCACCATTATGATACCCCTATAGTAACCTTATAGCAACCCTTGTAGATGCACTGCAGAGGCTGGAGCGCATGAAGAGCTGCTACAGACTCCTACTTGAGAGACTATTTATGTGTGATCTGTTATTTAGGGTGTACTGTCTGTGTAAATATTGAACTTAGTCTATTCTATCAGCTTTAAGTCTTAGCATAACGTAAAATGCTAAGTTACATTACACTGTGTTAACCTGCGTTATGTTACTCGCATATTACTATGTCTTATCATGATGTCACCATACGAGGCCATACTACCCCCAAAATGTCCTAAACTAAGCCATATATGTATACACATACTAGCACAATACAACTTCACATAACATCGTGCAACGTCATCAGTTGCCGTATGATATCATATCTACATTTCTTTTACATGACTATATACATGCACTTTATAAGATACTTCAAGCATCGTATATTCCAACACGATGTAGCATAGCATACCATGGCATCATGCAATATTGTTTGATGTAAGCTGGTATAATATGATGTGTCACAGTAACGTAACATAGCAGCATCTACAAGAACGACCTACCACACTATACTACAACATCTCTGCTGCAGTGTGATGACGTATCATGCACTACAGCAGAGCATAATCAGATTGGACTAGGTCAGATTGAGATTTGATTACTTTATATGAAAGGACGTTAAATTTCTGACATACTGTGGCATGGTACAGCATGTTATCGAGTGGATTAGTCTAGTGTCACGTGCGGTAGTATACTTGTGATGTAATAGATAGTTTAGTCCAGTGCAATGTAATGTAAAGTAGTATATCTTATGTGTTCTAACTATTGCTTGCACGGGTAAAGGCATCCGTTGCAGCGGCGGGTCTGTGCAAATCTCGGATTCCGGAGCTCCTGCTGATTCGCATGGAAGGTGATGCCCGCCGCGTGCACCTTCCCAGATGCAAAGCCCCATTAAATTATACAGTCCTTCTAGGCTGTGTCTTCCAGCCGAAAGCTCTGGCCTGCTCGCCTTAGCCTTTGAACGAACCCCGAAAACTGACACATCCTAAACGAGGCCCAAACCTCTTAATTACAATTATTATAACGAGTACTATTGCTACTGCGGTTAGCATTACTAATAGTAAAAACTCTTGGGGCCCGGGCTCTTTGAGGCAATCGGCCCATGGCTGGTTCGAAGGTGCGAAAGTGGCTAAGCATCTCCTGCCGTTCGATATAAGGGTGGTTTGGGGCTTCGGGACTTTTGACACTGGTTGGAGTTTTGGGGACTCTTGAGGGGCTCAAGCGGTTTGGGGTTTCGGGGTCTTCGCGTTCTTCAGGGATCTGGATTGAGGAAACTATGTGCGCAAACTGCCTCCTGCCCACGTTGCAACTCTACGTCAAAAAGACATCAGAGCCTGGCATCCGCAGACTGGCAAAGCTTTTCCCCTCGAGTGAGCTTTGCGCAACGATGCGCCGGCCATGCACATCTCGCAGGCTGGCAAGGACCACAACCTGCGGGACGAGCTGTTTGCGAGTCAGAGCTGTCCCGTGAGGCTTTGCATCCGTGTGTACATGTGTACAGACATGCAAAGTTCCAGTTCCATGTTTCCTGTGCCGGGGGGTTGCGCAGAAGATGAGAATTCATCCTTCGATACTTCTGGCAAGCTTCACAAGAAGGCTTCGGGTGCTGGGCGTGGCCGTGAGCGCAGCTTTGAGGCATGAACTGATGTGCCTGCTTCAATGGTCTTCTGAAAGATTTGGCGCTGCACCTCGTGACTCACGAGGCCGAACTGCTCGCAGTTCATGAGAACGTAACCTTGCGCTGGAGCTCATGAGCAACTGACAACGCTTCGCAGCTGACTAACAAGTGAACCGGCCTGCTTTGCGACTACTTAACCTTAAACCAGCAATTACATAGGGAGTTACAATGTGTGAGGACATACCGTTACATACCACAAGATACTGTAACATGCTACAAGATCGTGCAAGATGTTACTAGATACGGTAATCCAACATAATATATTCAAATATGCGATAGTATACTGTTGTAGGATACTCTGATATACTGCGATCTGCTATAATGTGCTCGAACATACTGTAAAAGATTACGAATACTACAATAAAGTAAGACATGCTATCAACTTACTATAGGGAAAGTAAGACATTATGAAGACTACAAGATGCCAGCAAATGCGATACTATCCATTTAGAGCCTCAGATACACTATACTATACGGTTTAGGGCTTAGGGTTTAGGGCTTGGGGTTTGAGGTTTTGTTTTTAGGGTTTGGGGTTTGGGGTTTAGGGTTTGGGGTTTGGAGTTTAGAGTGTGGGGTTTAGGGTCAATTAAGAGCTTGCTTTCGTTGCGGCGGACAGCGGAGCTGCCCTTGAACCCAGGCTTTCGAGCACTTCGGGTGCCTCGTGGCCCCTTCTCCTACCTTTACGCTTCCTTTCAAGGGGTCTATAAGGGTTACTATAAGGGATACTATAAGGGTTACTTAAGGGATACTATAAGGGTTACTATAAGGGATACTATAAGGGTTACTATAAGGGATACTATAAGGGCACTATAATGTGTAGGTGCCTTAATAACTAGAATAGGGTTTTGGGGTTCCTTATTAGAACTATAGTATCTTATACCCCCAAGCCCTATTCTAATGATGACGGCCCCGGTGTTAACCCTTGCAGTGACCCTACAGTAAGTTTGTGGTTGCCAGCATGGCTTGCGTTTCAACAAGTGCTGGCTTTCGGTCGCCTTCTTCTGCACTTGGTGCACTTCGAGAGTCAGCTCGCTCTCTCTGTCTCTCTGACTCTCTGTCTCGCTCTCGCTCTCGCTCTCGCTCTCTCGCTCTCTCACTCTCTCTCTCGCTCTCTCTCTCTCTCTCTCTCTCTCGCTCTCGCTCTCGCTCTCGCTCTCTCTCTCTCTCTCTCTCTCTCTCTCTCTCACACACACACATACACAACACAATCGACTGCTTGACTCGGAAAATAGTTAGGTAGCTTGCTGGCCACGTAGCTAGGTAGTCGGGTGGGCAAATAGTAGTGGCTTAAGAGTTTCAGAAAAGAATTAAGCGATCCTGCAGCGTTTGTTTACCAACTGCCCTTTGCAAGCCGAAGTCACTGAATGTCCTCAGCTGCTTCCAATGCTGCACAGGGTGCTAGACAACATACTTCAAGCCTGCTGTGACGGCGACCAACCACGCCAACATGTAATGTAAGGGCCTTAATAATTAGAAGAGGTTTCTGGGGGTTCCTTACTATGGTCACTAGTCTAGTATAATATGCCCCCAAACCCTATCCCAGGTATTAAGGCCCCTAGGTTTAACCTCCAAACCAAGCGTCAATGCTTCAGGCTCCACTCTGGAGGCCTGCATGTCCTTAGATTTGCAACGAGATACGCCTGCCTACCTACTACCTACGACTTACTACCTACTGCCTGCTACTTACGACTTATAGTACTTACTACCTACCAGCTGCTACCTATGACGTATGACTTACTACCTACCACCTCCAGACATGAGCCGTGCCCAGATCAGGATGCTACTTCCAATAAAGAAAGAGCAAAAGACACAAGGCGTTCCGGGCCCAAGAGGAACCTAGGAAGCAAAAAGTGTGCCCTTTTTGGTTTAAAGGGGCTTGTAAGGGAACCTGAACCCTAAAAGAAGGGAACAAGGGCCTACTCTAGGTCCCAGAGCAGCGCAAAACACAAGGCGTTCTGGGTGTGCAAACATACATATATAGACGTCATGTCGGGGTTTCCGAAAATGGGGGGTTTTAGTACCCTAAATAGTAGGATCCTCATACTAAAGAGCCCAAAATAAGGTACCCCTAATTTTCGGAAACTCCAATATAGACCAGGCGTCTGAAAAAAGCCAAAGCGTTTCTTGCCATTGGCGTGAACGGGAACAGGCCAAGACCGCCGCGTTGAAAGAAACTCCATCCGCTTGAAGGCTCATCTCGTGCATCCTGGTCTCTTTACAGGGATCCTTTTAAAGAGGTCTATAAGGATTACTAGAAGGGCTACAAAAAGGGTTTAGAGTGTAGGGGCCTTACTGATTAGAATAGGGTTTTGGGCCCATTATGCTATAATTATGACAAGGAACCCCCAAAATAGTATTTGTAATTAGTAAGGACCCTGTAAGTAATAGTCGGCATGCCAATGCCCGGTAAAGCTTCCGGTCTGTAAAACTAATTTTAGCATCACACACTTTCGACACTTTTGTGGACTATAGTGACTAGAGCCACCCATGCAAATACAGACCGCATGCAAACAAACAACGAGAACGCAACATTCCTGAAAGGCGCTGATTCTGCAAGTGTTTGGGGGGATCGCTATCTGGCTTGCTCACTTCTCGTATTCACAGCGTCGGGTATAAGGCGGATGGCAGCAGCGCTAATGAGACTTGCACTGGAGATAAGAAGATCCGAACAAGGTGTACTCGGCAGACACGATGCTCGTTCTGCCTGCAGAAAAAGCCTGTTTGCCAAGAGTCTCAAGAAGGAGCTGCAGGGACTTTTGCCACAGAGAGCTCTTTTCACAGGCGCTGATGGCAGAATTGAGCGTCAGTGTGTTCGGCCAAGTCCCAGCACGCAGCATGCCATCCAGCCTCAAGCCATCTTCGAAACGAGCATCTCCACGTCATGTTGCCGCAAATGCCTGTTGACTCCAAGCGGCAGCGCAAAAGCTGCCTGCCACTGTTCCGCATTCTCGCAGGCGCTGACAGCAGAGCTCCAACCTGTTTAAGAGTGGTCTGGCAGTGTTGAAACTGCAACAAGCATGCAGGGATCATTCTTGCAGGTTTTGGCGGGCTCAACGCGCTTGGGTGGAAACATCTCTCCAATCAAGCTGATGTAGGGAGTGCAGAGGTTGAAGTTTAACTCGACGGCAAATTTTCAAAATTGTAACAGGACCATTCCTGAAGTGGTGGATATCACAGAAAAGTCTTGGGATGTCTGCATGTTTTAAACGTTGAGTCTGCCATGGTCTGCTGCATGTTGAATTGGTGCTGGACCTCTGTTGAGCTGCGGAAGAATACCCCATCCGTAACGCAGTGATGGTCTTCTGTGCACTTTGGAGCTGCTGCAGGCCGGCTTTTGCGTGAACTTTGCTCGGGGATGATTCTTTGCGGATGGGCTCGTGTCTGCACGGGGGTCGGTATGTATGAATGTACATATCATGATGGTCAAGCACAGTCACTCTCAACCCCGCAGGTACCAAGTCATTCATGAACTCGTTGAGCTGGCAACCATTCAAGCCATGCCATCAATGATCGAAGGACTGGTTGACTTAAGAAGGCAAGTTCCCCCACCCCCCTGCACACAGGGTATTGGTGACCTGAACACTCACTAGTCTCAAGCTGAATGGCTCACGACGCTGCGCTCGAGCTCCATGGCTGACATACCTTGAGCAAATGATACACCAGACTCTCAGACTTGGTGCCCACACCCCACGTGGAGGCGTATGGTTCAACCTTAATTATCCTCACAATGGCTGTGAAGGTCATCTGGGAGTTTCCGAAAATTAGGGGTACCATACTTTGGGGTCCTTATAACCGAAATCCTACTACCTAGGGTACAATATGAGGGTTCCCTATTGTCGGAAACTCCCATCTTTGAAACTCCGAGCGTCCATGAAGCAATGCCAGGGCAAGGGTCCAGTGCCCGGCCTTTTCACAGGCAGTGATTGCTGAGTTGCAGCCTCGGTTCTGAATTTCCAGGATCTCATGTCAATGTCTATTCCCGCATGCCCAGCTGTATATGTCACTTTCATCACAGCACCGAGCCACTGATTTCGTCGACAACCAGATTCTGCGAACGTATTGTGCTGAACACCTTGTTGGCGAAGGGACTCTGGCGGGGGACAAGTTCAAGTGCATGGTGCAGTGACTGTAATGCCCGTCTGTGATGGCTCAAGACAGCCCAGTTGCAAGAAGGGCGAGCTGCCACTGGCCTGGAAAGGTTTGCGGCCAGATATAGGGTTCTAGCAAACGTGCCTGCCGAAAAGTTCATGCCGGCAACATGCTACCACCTGTACAGCAGCCCAATTATGACAGGTAGCTGGCAGCAGCGCATGCAGTGATGACGCTGCTGTAGGTTATCACATTCGGCGGGGCCGCCTGCTCCTTAGTAACTTGTCGGATAACAAATGCCAACATGGCTTTGTGAACCTGTAATATGCTGCTTGCACTTGCTGGCTGTTTATTGCAGGATATCGGCAGGACGTGCTGACATAGTTGGCTCTAAGTAACGCGACAGCACCATCACTTGTGCTCACCGACCCGTTGCAGTCGGGATGCAGGCATCTCGCTCAGAAGATGCAGAGCGAGAGACCATTCTCCTGTGCGTGAGTGCCGTGACTTGCAATGGCAAGGCTGCCAGTGTTTGCCAGCACAGAGGTATACACACGCGAAAGCAACGTAGAAACGGGTTCTTTAAGACAACGATGTTGCTGACAAGGGCAAGAGGGAACGCGCGCAACATAAACGATAGAGATGCAGAAGTGGAAAACATGAGTGAAGATGGGACGAGAATGAACATATGCCGGGAAGAAACTGGAAATGCAGACGAACGGTATCTCCCATGCAACATCTTACTGTATGTGTAGCGCCTGGGCAGGACGGTTAGAAGAAAAGCCAGCCGTCTCCTGACTTTTCGAAAGCGCTGCTCACCGAGCTGAAGGAAACCACTGTTGGTTGGAGACTCGCCTCGGCATGCTTCCAAGGATTGGGGATGGTCCGAACGGACAAAGAAAAATAGCGTCGACTTAAGCCAGGAGGCGGCAGGCAGCAGACCCAACAAGTGCAGCGCGAGCTGCCATTGCGAGCATTTCTCGCATGCACTCATCGCTGCATTGTATGAGACGACATTGGGGTTCACCTTTGCCGGGCACATGAAGCAAGGCTGTGATCACTTTGAAGTCTTAGACATCCCGCGGGTGCATAGCCGCGCCTTCGCAGTGGGCATGCCGACGCCGAGTATAAAGAGAGCTGTGCGCCAGTGAGCTGCCTCTCGACAGATGCAGGGAACGCAAACAGGTGCGAAGCCCACTCTGGACTCACTGCTCTTCGCCAAAACTGTGCGCTCCATGGGCCCGAGCAACAGTCCTCCGGTCTTCCAGGCTTCGGACTGGCGGTGTGTGACTGAGGCAATAAAGCAAAGCCTGTTAAGTTTGGACTATGCCCGCGTCGCATCCCGCCTTTGCAGTGGCACTGATTGCTGCACTGTAACCCATCACGTCGGCCTGACAGGGTACAACGAAGTGCGAGAAACGTCTGTAAACATGCTGTGCTTGACTTGAACGTTGATGTTTCTGTCCGGTCCAGGACTGCAGTATCCGTCACAGGGTCCTCCTTGATATTTCCAAGAACTCATGATACCACTAGCAGCACCAGCAGAACAAGGCAACGCCATGTAGCATCCGTCCTCGTGGAAAGCCAGGAGGCACAGAGCCACCTCCCAGTTGCTGCTTTGCTCACAGGCACTGATCACGCTCCGGTAGCAGATAGGCTGAGGGTCCACAGAGTCCTGCCAGGAGCTTCCGATTCGTGGTGCTGCACGTTCCCGTCACTCTCCACTGGGCTTCACTTAATGGCTGCATGGCCGAGTTCTGTGACCCAAAGATGTCAGAACTAGGGAAGCTTGCAGGAGACTTCTGTCCTTCAGCATGCTGGCGAGTAATCTGAGCGACAATTGCCAGAGGCCCTTGGCTTCGAAGGCACGTAGCGCAGAGCTGTAGGTGAAGAGGTCTGGCCTGGTGGGCTACAGCATGGCAATCAGGCAAACCCACCAACTACAGCATGCGAACCTTCGCTCCATGTCAGTACCACTTTACTCTTCATATTGAAGATCAGAATCGGGCTTGGGGGAATGTGAAAGTGTAGCCAGTATAGTCTAGTTATTGGTACATACATACAGATATATCTTTATTTGCATACATTGTAACCATTATCAACCTGTATTTAAAGAGGGGCTACAGAATAAGAGGATATTCTTGCTATGCGAGATCTTCGAGCAGGGTTCACTCCTTCGGCTAGCTCGAGCTGGAGCGGTTGAAACAGCACGAACAACAGCGTATGCAATGTAACCAGACATGATGTAACAGATCTGTACATGTTTTAAAACATGTACAAATATACGAGCGCCTGCCTCAGGCGGAATGCTTGAAGCCTCTCCAGCAGGGACAATGCGACTTGCCAATTTCCAGCGCCGGCACATGCATTGATGGAGGTGTTGAAGCTGATGATGTCCGCTGAAACGCTGTCCTGCATCCTCGGTCCAGCAGTCGGCGGCAACAGGAAAACAAGGAGTAGCTAGCGTTGCTACGGGTCGCTGCTATCGAGCAGCTGCGAGAGGCATCGCAAAGTGTCTGCAACTTTAGTCTACAAGCAAGCTGGCCCTTGTGATTTGGCAGCCATATCTCTTGGCACTCCACAGAAGCAGCAACTATAGCACGGACTGAATATGCATCAGTATCTTACCCAGTTTGTGGTAACGGCTGTGACTCAAGTCTTGACCCAAAGTATGCGCTTCGCTTGTTCTCTGCCCTTGTGCGCCGTCTCGCCTGTCCATGCACCCCCACCCACCCACGCACCCAGCCAGGATCCTTCTCTTTGGTGAATCACACCAACTCCCATCTCGGCCGGGTCAGGGTTCTGAATTGGAGTGTCGGAGCGGAACTGCAAGCCTCATTTCTCAACGTTACGGTTCACACATGTTTGGTGGCTAGGGCCTGTTTCCGTCAATCTACTCGTGGTTCAGAGGCGAGGACCGGCGGCAACGCAGACAACATCCGTTGCCAGACATGCAGGATCTGAAACCCCGAAATCGCCAGTCAGACGGCTGCATGCGAAATGCTGCTTCCGATTTTCTTCCGGGCACAAGCACAGGATCATCAACACGTAAGACCTGAATGCTAGACAGGATCACGTTTCTCGCGAGCTTCGTCAGGATCGAAGCGAGATGCGAAGCAGCGGGGAGCGGGCAGTAAGCAGGGTGTCTGCTACACCCTTCATTCTGGCAACCCGTGACCCTCCGAAGTCCTCAGAGCTAGACGAGCTAACACTTTTGTCAGAATGACCAACTATCGCTGCTTCCGCTGGGAATGTAGTCTTGTAGTTTCCTCATTCATCCTTCAGGTGAGAGCTCCCTGCTTCCGCGTGCCAGGGCCGCCAGCACTGTCAGGAGGGTCATCATACTGTTGGAAAAGCGTCATCGAAACATGTCCACTCTGGTTCTTGCCCCGACTGCAGACACAGCTCTGAACTCGAGAAGCTGAGGCCGTGTCATCGTCAGCCTGGGTTGTGATTAAAACCCTTTGAAAATTATTTGTGAATACGTTCCCTTTATAAGGAAACAAGGGAAAATAAAAATTATCCCAAAGCACAACCCAGCAGCACCAGCAAGCACAGATCCCAGAGACCGGCTTGCACACACGAAGCCATTGCCTTTGGAGGCTTGGGTGGTTCTGGCTGCTGCTGCGACTGCAACGTCTGCAACGGTTCGACACTACTGCACATGATACAGCCACCCAGCAGCAGCAAGCTTGAGGCATCAAAAAGGTGCTAGGGGTTCCCGAGTTCCGAGTCTCTAGTCGCCAGCGGTGTCTCAGGGCTGCGGGGACTCCTATGCCCGAGGCCCATTAGCCCTATGCTGTCTATGCATTCCTCGCTGCTCCGTCTACCTGATTTCACCTCTGTTTTCATGAAAAAAGATGACTCTGTTCCCCCCCCCTCTCTCCGTCAAGTCAACGTAGGAACCTGATTGAGAAACCCTGGGCCTTTACTTGTTAGGGTTCCTTATATGAACCTTACTATTTTGAAGTTATCGGCCCAGGGTTTCTTAATCAAATTCCTACATGGGAGTTTCCGAAAATAGGGGACCCTAATATAGCACCCTAAATAGTAGGATCCTTACTATAAGGAACCCAAAACAAGGTACCCCTAATTTTCCGAAACTCCCACATTAGTCTAGACCGAAGAGAAACCTAGGAATAAAAAGGGTGCCCTTTTTGGTTTGAAGGCGTTTATAAGGGAACCCAAACCCTAAAAAAGGGAATAAGGGCCTATTCTGGGTCCTAAACCCTAAACCCTGTACATCCCTTATAGGAACCCTTAGAGGATCCCTTTAAAGGAACCCTAAGGTACCCCCTAACATCAGTGCATCCCGGGCAGCAGAATTGAAGGTGACTCTGTCGGGCTCGAGCCCCTGAGCCGAGATTTCGCCTGAGACTAAAGTTTTGAGGCTGCGAGTACAATAGGGCCCTAATAATAATAAGAAGAAGAATAAGAATAAGAATAAGAATAAGAATAAGAATAAGAATCAGAATAAGAATAAGAATAAGAATAAGAATAAGAATAAGAATCAGAATAAGAATAAGAATAAGAATAAGAATAAGAATAAGAATAATAAGAAGAAGAAGAATAAGAAGAAGAAGAAGAATAATATAATTAGGATTGGGTTTTGGATTCATTATACGATACTTTTAATAAGGAGCCCCCAATGTAGTTTTGGATATTAGGGGTTCGGAGTTCATGTTGGGGTTATGCGCCCGCTGAGGTACTTGCACTTCAGGCTGCGGCGGATGTGTGGATCCGGTTCAACATGCTTTCAGTACCATGGTACGCTGGGACATGCAGTGCTTCAAGATCTCAAGACAGCTCGTGAGGGGCGCAACATGACGCAACTAGGAACTCTGCTCAGCTTCGACCCGTATCTCAGGGCTTAGGCTTGTTCTTTACAAGGCGTAGGGTTTACGCGTTTAGGGTTCAGGTTTATCGCAGTTCTCTTTGCCTGCACTTATCGTGGCCGAAGCTGGTCTCAAGTCACTGCCCACCGAAAAAAAAACCAAGGCAGGCTTCCCTGACTTCCAGATCGCTGGATACTTTCAAGGGTGCTATAAGCAGGGTATCATAAGGGCAGAAAAAGGGGTAGTGGCACTATTCATTCATGAGCCTAGGGGTACTTCTCAGCAGGGGTACTTCTCAGCCACTACCGAAGATTTAAGAAGATTGTTGAATTATTTGGAAGATTGTTGAAGAAAAACGAATTATTTGGAAGATTGTTGAAGAAAAATGAATTATTTGGAAGATTATTGAAGACAAACAAATTATTTGGAAGATTGTGGCAGAAATGCGAATTATGTGAGGGTTTCAATTTGAAGCTTAAACACGGTTTAGGGTTTAGGGCTCATGGTTTAGGCTTCCTGGCACGGCTCGAGGACCGGAACACCGAGGTTTAGGGTTTAAAGATTCTAGGTCTAGTATTGGTCAGCTTCGGGGCCCACAAAGTTTAGGGTGCCAACTTCCGAGGTTCAGGGTTTAAAGGTTTAGGGTTTAGGGCTTACGGTTGTTCGGGTCTAAAGGTGTAGGGTTTAGGGTTTAGGGTTTGGGTGAAAACACCCACTTTGTGGGAGTACTAGAGTTGAAAACAAATATGAGTAATCGAGTAGTGAAGTAATAGAGTAATAGAATAATAGAGTAGTAGACTAATAGAGTACTAGAGTATTTGAGTAATAGAGTAATAGAGTAATAGAGTAATAGAGTAATAGAATAATAGAGTAATGGAGTAACAGAGTAATAGACTATGTGTGTGGAAAATTGAAACCCTTTGCTATGTTCGCGAAGCGAGGAAATTTTTTTGTTTTTTATGCAAAATTCATGCAAATGCTTTTGGTGCGAGTGTCTGGAGCAAGCCTTGTAGTGTGTGTGGAGTACTAGAGTTGAAAACAAATATGGATGTTCGCGAAGCGAGGAAATTTTTTGTTTTTTTATGCAAAATTCATGCAAATGCTTTTGGCGCGAGTGTCTGGAGCAAGCCTTGTAGTGTGTGTGGAGTACTAGAGTTGAAAACAAATATGGATGTTCGCGAAGCGAGGAAATTTTTTTTTTTTTATGCAAAATTCATGCAAATGCTTTTGGTGCGAGTGTCTGGGGCAAGCCTTGTAGTGTGTGTGGAGTACTAGAGTCGAAACCAAATATGGATGTTCGCGAAGCGAAGAAATTTTTTGTTTTTTTATGCAAAATTCATGCAAATGCTTTTGATGCGAGTGTCTGGAGCAAGCCTTGTAGTGTGTGTGGAGTACTAGAGTTGAAAACAAACATGGATGTTCGCGAAGCGAGGAAATTTTTTTGTTTTTTATGCAAAATTCATGCAAATGCTTTTGGTGCGAGTGTCTGGAGCAAGCCTTGTAGTGTGTGTGGAGTACTAGAGTTGAAAACAAATATGGATGTTCGCGAAGCGAGGAAATTTTTTGTTTTTATATGCAAAATTCATGCAAATGCTTTTGGTGTGAGTGTCTGGAGCAAGCCTTGTAATTAGTGTGTGTGGAGTACTAGAGTTGAAAACAAATATGGATGTTCGCGAAGCGAAGAAATTTTTTTTTTTTATGCAAAATTCATGCAAATGCTTTTGGCGCGAGTGTCTGGAGCAAGCCTTGTAGTGTGTGTGGAGTACAAGAGTTGAAAACAAATATGGATGTTCGCGAAGCGAGGAAATTTTTTGTTTTTTTATGCAAAATTCATGCAAATGCTTTTGGTGCGAGTATCTGGAGCAAGCCTTGTAATTAGTGTGTGTGGAGTACTAGAGTCGAAACCAAATATGGATGTTCGCGAAGCGAAGAAATTTTTGTTTTTTTTTATGCAAAATTCATGCAAATGCTTTTGATGCGAGTGTCTGGAGCAAGCCTTGTAGTGTGTGTGGAGTACTAGAGTTGAAAACAAATATGGATGTTCGCGAAGCGAGGAATTTTTTTTGTTTTTTATGCAAAATTCATGCAAATGCTTTTGGTGCGACTGTCTGGAGCAAGCCTTGTAGTGTGTGTGGAGTACCAGAGTTGAAAACAAATATGGATGTTCGCGAAGCGAGGAAATTTTTTTTTTTTTATGCAAAATTCATGCAAATGCTTTTGGTGTGAGTGTCTGGAGCAAACCTTGTAATTAGTGTGTGTGGAGTACTAGAGTTGAAAACAAATATGGATGTTCGCGAAGCGAAGAAATTTTTTGTTTTTTATGCAAAATTCATGCAAATGCTTTTGGCGCGAGTGTCTGGAGCAAGCCTTGTAGTGTGTGTGGAGTACTAGAGTTGAAAACAAATATGGATGTTCGCGAAGCGAGGAAATTTTTTTTTTTTTTATGCAAAATTCATGCAAATGCTTTTGGTGCGAGTATCTGGAGCAAGCCTTGTAATTAGTGTGTGTGGAGTACTAGAGTTGAAAACAAATATGGATGTTCGCGAAGCGAGAAATTTTTTGTTTTTTTATGCAAAATTCATGCAAATGCTTTTGGTGCGAGTGTCTGGAGCAAGCCTTGTAGTGTGTGTGGAGTACTAGAGTTGAAAACAAAATATGGATGTTCGCGAAGCGAAGAAATTTTTTTGTTTTTTTATGCAAAATTCATGCAAATGCTTTTGATGCGAGTGTCTGGCGTCTGGAGCAAGCCTTGTAGTGTGTGTGGAGTACTAGAGTTGAAAACAAATATGGATGTTCGCGAAGCGAGGAAATTTTTTTGTTTTTTTATGCAAAATTCATGCAAATGCTTTTGGTGCGAGTGTCTGGAGCAAGCCTTGTAGTCTTCCCTGTTCTACGTAAGACTGCTGCATGCTTTTAAATTCTTCTAAATTCTTCTAGATTCGTCGGAATTCTGCAATTTTCTTCCAAAATCTTCCGGTTTCTGCCTGTCTGTCAAGACATGCCTGGTTCCCAACACCATTTTTTTTCATTTGTACACACACACGGTATCCCCATTTCTTCGTTTTTCTACCTTTTCTACCTTTTTCTACCTTTTTCTACCTTTTTCTACCTTTTTCTACCTTTTTCTACCTTTTTCTACTTTTTTCTATTTTTTTCTACCTTTTTCTACCTTTTTCTACTTTTTTCTACCTTTTTCTACCTTTTTCTACCTTTTTCTACCTTTTTCTACCTTTTATTCGGTTGAGGTTTGTTTTTTTTTCTCTTTTTTTCCCCTTTCTACCGGCATGCTTGGGGGAAGGAAATGCTGCCCGATTTTCAGCCCCTCCCCCCCCCTCCCCTAGGCCATACGTTTAGGGCCTAGGGTTTAGGGCCTTAGGTTAGGGCCTAGGGTTTGGGGCCTTAGGTTTAGGGTTTAGGGCCTTGCGTTTAGGGCCTTGGGTTTAGGGCCTAGGGTTTAGGGCCTAGGGTTTGGGGCCTTAGGTTTAGGGCCTAGGGTTTAGGGCCTTAGGTTTAGGGCCTAGGGTTTGGGGCCTTAGGTTTAGGGCCTAGGGTTTGGGGCCTTAGGTTTAGTGCCTAGGGTTTAGGGCCTTACGTTTAGGGCCTAGGGTTTAGGGCCTAGGGTTTAGGGCCTAGGGTTTAGGGCCTAGGGTTTGGGGCCTTAGGTTGACGGCCTAGGGTTTGGGGCCTTAGGTTTAGGGCCTAGGGTTTAGGGCCTTACGTTTAGGGCCTAGGGTTTAGGGCCTTAGGTTTAGGGCCTAGGGTTTAGATGTATGTATATACGTGTGTATGTATGTATGTTTGTATGTATGCATGTATATGTATGTATGTATGTATGTATGTACATGTGTGTGTGGGTGTGCAGGTGTGTATGTTCGTATGTGTAGGTGTTTATGTGTGTGTGTGTCTGTGTGTGTATGCATGTGCTTATGTATGTATGCATGTATGGATGTATCTGCCTATGTATGTATGTATATATGTATGTATGTACCTATGTATGTACTCATTTACACACACATACAAATGTATACATAATTGCGCATACGTATATACATGCATGTGTATATATTTATAAGTGCGTATATATAGATATATATGAAGATACACAAACATGTCTGTATATATATATATATATATATATGTATACATGTCTGTATCTATATATATTGTTTGTGTATGTATATACATACACATGTATGTATATACGTGTGTGTCTACCTATATGTAATATCTGTAAACAGATATAAATATATGAAGAATCGCCATTAAGGTCATCACCAACCTCGCCAAACCATCATCATGCTCGTCATAATTATCAAACCACCATCATCGTCTTCATAGCCCTAGTCTTCTTCGTAGAACCCAGGTTTTATAATCATCAACATCATCATCATATATCATCATACACATCGCCAACGACATATTCACAATCGTCATCATAATCAGCATCGGCCATCATCAGTCATCGTTGTTATCATCCACATAGAACGTCGTTATAGTCATCATCATAAACATCGAATCATCAATGAGATAGAAGCC